TGTTGGGGGTGGCCTATTATGCTAATGAGTTCCTGCTGGACTTTTTCTACAAAAAGAGCCCTGGCCGCAAGCCATAGTTCTGGCACAGCTGTCCTTGAAAAAGAGCAGTTTCTCTCTCAGCCCCACCGACCTCACAGGGTGTCTGTTGTGGGGAGGGGAAGGGAAAGGAGTTTGTAAGCCGCTCTGAGACTCCTGTGGGTAGTGAAGGGCGGGGTATACATCCAATCTCATCTTCTCTTCTTCTTCATCTTCGGATTTTATGGCAGCCTCCACACTCCGTGCCGACTTCACTTCCTTTGATCATCGGGTTTTACGGTACGTTCTGCATAGATTTATGGCCGTTTTATGCAGAACGTACCGTCTGATCACACACTGGCGCACTGCACCCGCGGTTTCCAAGGGAGGTGTGATCGCGCAACTGCAGGTCAAATGCCTCCGGAGGAAATAGCCTCAGCCCCCCCCCCCCCCCATTTTTTCTCGCAGGTGGGACCCCAACCTCGGGTTCGAATTCCCACGCTACCATGGAAACACAATGAGTGACCTTGAGCGGGTCACTCTCTCTCAGCCTAACATACTTCACAGGGTTGATGTCATGAGGCTAAAATGGAGGAGAAAGGTGAATGATCTTCCTTTGATCATCGGGTTTTACGGTACGTTCTGCATAGATTTATGGCCGTTTTATGCAGAACGTACCGTCTGATCACGCACTGGCGGACTGCGCTCGCGGTTTCCAAGGGAAGTGTGATTGTGCAACTGCAGGTCAAATTCCTCCGGAGGAAATAGCCTCGCCCCCCCCCATTTTTTCTCGCAGGTGTGACCCCAACCTCGGGTTCGAATTCCCACGCTACCATGGAAACACAATGAGTGACCTTGAGCGGGTCACTCTCTCTCAGCCTAACATACTTCACAGGGTTGATGTCATGAGGCTAAAATGGAGGAGAAAGGTGAATGATGTAGTAAGCCACCTTGGGTCCCCATCGGAGAGAAAAGCAGGGTATAAATCTCTACATTAACATCCTAAAAGGGCCCTGCTTCGAAGGATCCACCAGTGAAGCCAATTAAAGCTGGAGGCCTAGAATATAGCCATGCAAACACTCTTCAGGCCGATTCCAGCTCGAGACTTCCGGCTCTCATCCGAGGACCTGGAATGAGAAGAGCTCACCTGCAAGACGTAATCCAGGGCCAGGTGCCGGAAGCATTTCCTGGTGATTGTCAAGGTGCCGGTGGCCTCTTCCACTTCGTGGGGCTTATGGCGTGGAGCCTGGGCATTCTTGACCAGGGCAATTTCCATGTCCTCTCGCACCTTATCAAACTGCTTCTTGGTCTCCTTGAATTTCCGGACGTCACTGGGGTTGAAACACAAGAGTGGTCATGAGCTTAACAGCTAACTCAGAGAGAAGGTTTCCCACGGATGAACATATGGAGCGGAGGTCCAATCAGTGGCTATTAGCCACAAGGTATAGATGGAAGACTCTGTCTGGGGCAAGTGATGCTCTGTATTCTTGGTGCTGGGGAGGGGGCAACAGTGGGAGGGCTTCTGGAGTTCTGGCCTGCGGGTGGAACTCCTGATGGCACCTGGGTTTTGGCCACTGTGGGACACAGAGTATTCGACTGGATGAGCCATTGGCCTGGTCCATCATGGCTCCTCTTACAGAATCACAGACTTGGAAGGGACCTCCAGGGTCATCTAGTCCAACCCCCCGCACAATGCAGGAAAATCACAAATACCCCCACACCCCCAGTGACCCTTGCTCCATGCCCAGAATATAGCAAAAAAAAACCCTCCAGGATCCCTAGCCAAATTGGCCTAGAGAAAAGTTGCTTCCTGACCCCAAAGTGGCGATCGGTGTTTCCCTGGGCGTGTCAGAAAGGGCCACGAGAACTAAGCACTGATACGATCCTCCCTGCCCTCCCTCTCATGATCTGCCAAAGTTCACAGAACCCACATTGCTGTCAGATGGCCATCGAAGCTCCGTTTGAAAACCTCAAAAAGAGGAGAGCCCACCACATCCTGAGGAAGCCTGTTCCACTGAGGAACCGCTCTGAATGCCAGGAAGTTCTTCCTCATGTTTAGCCGATTTTGATTATGTTGTTATGCTTTTAAGAGACACGTGGCACGCGAACACTCTGCATTTAGAACAGCTAGACACTATTTTTCTTATCCCAAAGGCCTCCACAAGCTACCCTTTGTCCCACTGAGGGACACAGACAGGCAAATTGTATTTCCCCCCCACAACTAGGCAAATGGCAGCTCAGGAAGCATGGCTGAGGTCTGGAATATGGCACAGGAGGACGAGGAGAAAAACCCCTCTATCTGTGCCATGGCTCCATTACAAATTGGGGACTCCCGCTCTTACTGTTTAACAACTTAAAACACACACTGGAGATCTGGCTATGAATTAGGGGTGGCAGCTTCCACGTGGGACACGGGGAGCCCCCGGAATTACAGCTCATCTCCAGACCACAGAGAGGGCTCAGAGGGTGGAGTTTATGGCCTTGTGCCCCACGGAGGTCCCGGTCCTCCCCAAGCTCCACCCGCAAATCTCCAGGAGTTTCCCAACCTGGGGCTGGCAACACTAACCCTACCAGAGTGTGTGTGTGTTATTTGTCCGGGGTTTTTTTTAAGGCAAGAAGCTGGAAACTGAAAAATCATAAACTGGCTCTATTACGATTACTGTTGTTTTTAACGGGATTTTAAAAACGTGCCTGCCTCGTTCGGATCCGACGGGCTTTCAAGGAAGCCGACAAAGAGAAGGATGAAAACAACATCACGCGCACAACAACGCTTCAAATTAAATTCTTAGCAGCAATGAAAAGCGACAAAATTAATAAGAAACAGGAGTGCCACTTAGATCAATTAAGGAAGTACGGGCTCCACGGCGCCGCAGAGTCCCGTAAATTCACACTTCAGTAGATGCCTGAGAGATGACCTCAAGTGAACCTCTCTGGGGAGGGGGATTCAACAAATGCGGTGCCAGCACCAAGAAGCCCCCCTCCCCCGGAATACCCACCTAGCTGCTGAATAAGGATGGCACCTAATTTCAAATACCAGCCTATTAGATGCAAATCCTCATTCCAGTCCTATCTCTCCCTTATGAGAAAAGAACCAAAGAGTATTTTTGACCTGTTCCTCTTTCCTTACGTTGTAGATTCCCCACTAAGGCCGTCATGTTTGGCAATGCTATTGTTGCCCCAATGGCAGTCAAAGGACATACAAGAAATAAAAGATTCAGCAAGGGCAGCAAGGACACTGAGGTAGTGCTGCCAACCTCCAGGTCTGGGCTGGAGATCACCTGGAATTACAACTGATCTCCAGCTGACAGAGATCAGAAAATGGCCGCTTTGGAGGGTGGACTCTGTGGCATTTTAGCCTGCTGAGGTGACCCAAAGCTCGCCTCCCAAGAAGGGTTGCCAGGTCTGAGTTGGAAAACACCTGGAGACTTTGGGGGCGGAGCCAGGGGAGGGCGGGGTTTGGGGAGGGGAGGGGCCTCAGCATGGTGTACCATGCCACAGAGTCCACCCTTCAGAGCAGCCATTTTCTCCAGGGGAGCTGATCTCTGTCAGCTGGAGATCAGTTGTAAAAGCAGGAGATCTCCAGGCCCCACCTGGAGGCTGGCGACCCTACTCCCAAGGCTCCACCCCCAAATATCCAGGAATTTTTAACCTGGAGCTAGCAACCTTATATTGAGGTGGACCAAATCCAGTGATCATGTATTTTATTTTCATTTAGCCCCTTTTCTAAGGAACTCAAAGCTGTATACACAGGTTTCTCCTCTGCAGGGGTCATTTCCTGCAGGAGCGCACAGGAGCGGAGCTCCGGCAGTAAAGAGCCCAGGGGGCGGGCACATGCAACAAGCCCCGCCCCCTGCTCCCAGCAGCCCTCAGTCAGAGCAAGAAGCAGCCAGGTAAGCTGCAGAGCCCCCCCGCCGGCCCCCCGGTCCAAAACAGTCCAGTGGCACCTTTAAGACCAAGTTTTATTTAGGCACAAGCTCTCCCTCCTCTGCGAGAACAGATCTGCGCGCCCCCCCCCCCCAATAGCTAGCAATCCAAAACAGTCCAGTGGAGCCTGAGCGGTGGGTGTTGCCTTCTGACACACTTCCGGTGATGCCAGGGGGTGTGGCATACGCAAATGAGTTATGCTAATGAGTTATGCTAATGAGCTCCTGCACCTCTTTTTCTACAAAATGACCCCTGCTCCTCTGACATCTTAACCTCACAGCAACGCTCTGGTGTAGGTTGGCCAGAGAGAGGGAGCGACCAGTCCAAGGCAACCCAGACAGCCCCATTGGCTGAGGAAGGATTTGAACCCGGGCCTCCACCACTCTCTAACACTGTTGTCATATCCATAATCTCGGCTGTACGTAAAGCAGTCTCCTCTCCCAGTCGGAAAATTAAGAAAGCAACAGGGAGGGGGGAAAGAGATTATATCGGAAGAAATGATTGTTCCCTAAAGCCCATAATAGCCCGTTTGCAAATGGATGGTGCCACGCTGCCTCGACGTCGTGTGGCCCGACGCCGGATTTGGCGTCGTGGCACTGCACCGATGGTGTTGCCCACCTCAATGAAGGGGCAATCTAGGATTTTTAATCTCCTCAGAAATCTGAGAAATGCTTAAAACATGTGTGTGGGGGGGTCTGAAGGATACAGGTGCTATAGTGTGTGGGGGGGTCAACGGTCCCTCACTGGTCTCATCCCACCCATTTGATCCCGTCGCCCACCGCTGCAGAGGGGCTCTGAGTTACTGGCCGTTTCCATGGCAACCGGGCCTTGCTTAGCGGAAGGCCGCCGCTGCCTCACTGACCTATATTCTGTTGCTTCAGATGCCTGCCCTGTACCTGCCCCCGGTTTTTTTAAGCGGATGAGGAATTCGAAGGATTGGTTTTGCATAGGATGGAACGGGGCAAGCCAAGCAAGGCTTGATTCTGCTAGTTAAATGGAAAAGTCAAATAATGGATTTTATGCACGCACACATCCCGGCCTGGGAAGTCAGCAAGGACTGACTTGCCTTGCCTTTCTTCCCTAGAGAAAGACAGCTCAGGGCGATAAACACTAGGTCTCCAGTCTCTTTGGAGGGGGCAGGATAATTTTGGGATACCAAAACTCTGAAGGCTGTGTCATCTCTTTCCTGACTCTCTCCCCTTTCCGTTGACTGAAGGAGAACAGCAGAAAGCCCTCTTAGTACAGGTCTCCTCTGCTGCAAGACCTGTTTGACCCCAATGGTTGGACAGCATCCATATCAGTTTCATGTTTCTACTTTTGTCCTGACTCTCTCTCTCCCCTCCTCCTGCTGACCTCTGATATTCTCTCTAAACCAGACTTCCAGTAGCGAGTGAAATGACTCACACAAATGAAATGCATTCACTCATTCCACATTTTTGGTTATACTAAAAATTGTAATAAAAGGAGTTTTAAATCCTTTTATTCTTAAATTGCTTCAGAATAAACATGCCTACACACAACCTCAGAATTTGGAAACTGGAACCAGTATCTTCTCTTATTTTCAGTTTTAAAAGCAAGATTGTAGCACATGTGGCTTTGTAAGCAGCAGATTATTTGTTCTCCATGTGGCTCTTAGGTGACAAATGTCCTGCCCTTTAATAGAAGTTCAACGAGATGTTATTTACCAGGTGATGTAACTCAACTCCACGATGTAAAAGCCTTCAACTACCTATTTCCACTCATTAAGCCTTTATTAAAAGGGATAGATATTTTTCTCCATGCCAGCTAGCAATCCTAGTACCTTTATGCTCACTGCAATCAAGTATAATAAAAGGTGTTATATAATTAGCTCAATACTATGAATTCCAGACATGTCTGGAATAAACACCTGCCAGTGTTGATTTGCAGGCTGTGGTGGAGGAAAATGTATTTCTCAAAAAACTGAGTAACGTTTTAAGAAAAGTATGATGTTCACACCATCTATGATGCAATCATTCCATTCTTTTTTAAAATCTCATTTAATGCACCATTTAATTTGAGTGCTGTCACTTCTTCCTTTCTGGATCAGTCACACAGGTGATCCTAGCCAATCAGGGATCATGTTATTGACCTTAAGTCTGGTGAGAATGCCACTAAGAAAACTCGGAAACAATTTGACAATTATATCCCTGAGGGCAAAGGAAGGCAAGTTACCTGTATACACAAGCGTTTTTGCAAGGATTACTAAAATGTTGTTAAACAATGGAAGGCACCTGTTGATGAGAACAGTGAGGGGTTCCAGCCTATCTCACCAGGGAGGAGCAAACATCCCCTGATTTATTATCTTTGTATTTATTGATAGATTGATTTGATTCGTGCCCCACCCTTCCACATTGTACAGTTTTTATACACAATGTCGATAAAATGTATTTTAAGCCCATCTTTCAGAGTCATCCGCTCAGTGTTGCAGACAGATAGTATGTGCTGCATCCCATCAGACAGGTTAAGAACATAAAAACATAAGAGATGCCAATGTTGGATCAGGCCAAAGGCCCATCCAGTCCAACACTCTGTATCACACAGTGGCCAGAAACACCAGTGCCATCAGGAGGTACACCAGTGGGGCCAGGACACTAGAAGCCCTCCCACTGTTGACCCCCCCAAGCACCAAGATGTCAGAGCATCACTTGCCCCAGAGCCCCTATCTTTACCTTGTGGCTAATAGCCACTGATGGACCTCTGCTCCATATGCTTATCTAATTCCCTTTTGAAGCCGTCCATGCTTGTAGCCGCCACCACTTCCTTTGGCAGTGAATTCCAAGGTTCAACAAACACCCCGAAAAGAAACCCAAAGACTTACTCTTTCACAAAATTGTGCAGCTGTTGCCGGACGGACCTCTGAGCTTGGTCAAAAAGGATCTGAGAGAGAAAGAGAAGAGAGCCAGAAAAACAAGTCAATAAGATTACAAAATGGTTTTCATGCTTATGCTTAGCAGGTGGACTCAGAACAGAAGTCCATCTTTGGGCTTTTCTGCATTCTCATTCCCATTTCTTTGGGTTGTTTTTCTGTTCTGTATGTGTTTTGCTCCCTCTAGTGGTCGATTCAATATCACACATCTTTATCTCTGGCATAAAACCCTACAGTTTAAACCTGCAGGGAGATATGCTGGCGAAAAACCTGTTTGAGATTGATTCCACCACTAGAGGGAGCAAAACACATGCAGAACAGGGAAATATCCCCAGAAGGAACAGGAATTTACCAGCAAATAAAATGAGAATGTGGAAAAGCGTATCCTTGGGATACTGTCATCCTGATAGGGACCAACCAGATGCAATGCTCCCTCTAAGCTGTGGAGTCGTGTGAGCAAAAATTCTGCTTTGTGAGCTGCTGGCATTAAAGCGGTGAGCGAGCGATTTGGCTGCTGCATAAATCGGTTTGCTCTGGAGCCATCCTTCCTGAGCTAAGACAAAAACGTGTGAGCCAGAGGCGGAAAAAGCTGTGAGCTAGCTCACACTAACTCAGCTTAGAGGGAACATTGAGATGCCCATCTAGTCCCCAGAAGTTCTACCCCTGAAGTTCACAGGAAAGGTACGAGGAGGACATTTCCAGATGGATAGCCACATTAGCCTAATGTAGCAAGACGCTTTGGTCCATATTACTGGATCATTATAGATGTACTGCTCCTGAACACAGAGGACACATTTCCAGGCTAGGATTGAATAAATATCACTTGTCTTGCTCCCATACCGATCATAATTAAGCGTTCACACCTTTCCAATGATCTGCTGTGAACTTCTGGGAATGGTGCTTAATTGGATGAACGCACAACGTACATTTTGATGTGTTTGATGCGTGTCATTAGCTATACTGCCATAATGGTAATACATAAGAAAATGCTCATTCCCTCTCCCTGCCCCCATGGGCAGGCCTATGGGAAATGGACTGAGAGAATATACCTGCGATTCCTTTTCATGACATGGACATTTCATGTGAGGGCAGTACACTCTGGGCAGAATTCTTAGCAGGGAGATCACCGAATCATAGAGTTGGACGGGGGCCATACAGGCCATCTAGTCCGACCGACCGCTCAGTGCAGGTTCAGCCTAGAGCATCCCTGACAAGCATCTGTGCACTGGGCACAGTGGAAACCCAAAATTCGCAGAAACATTGATTTGGGTGAAATGTCATTTCGCCTGCAAGCAGCGCACCCTACAGCGCTGACTCTTCTTTGTGCCAACAGCTAGGAAGGGAGCCAGCATGGCAGCAGATAATCGGAACCGGGGATCGCCTGGGGCTTTGGACCTTTCTGCGCTCTCCAAGCAATTCAGCACTGAAATCAAATTCAGCCTTCTTTTTAATCCAGGGGTTCCCCACCACCACCATTCTGCACTAAAATAGAGTTCAACCTTCTTTGTATTCCATGCCCCCCCCCCATTCTGCGTTACATTCCCACCCTTCAGTGGTCAGCCCGGTTTCAGCCTTCTGTTGCCCCGGAGTTATTTTTTGCTGTGGACTTAGGTCCTTTCCACCCTTGGATCTCATCCCTGGTTTTATCAGAGTTCAACTCGCAACACAAGACCTTGTATTTATCCCTGGTTATAACAGCATCCGTTTATCCCGGGACAAGTGTAGGGCGAAACCAGGGTGACCTCATTGTAATGGGGAAACAAAAAATACCCCGAGAATTCAGGGCTATTTTTGGGCAGGAACGCACAGGAAAGGAGTTCCGGCTGGCTCCCGAGTTGGCCATGCCCAGCAGGAACTCATTAGCATAACAGGCCACACCCAACAGCAGAAACTCATTAGGATTGGCTACATTAGGGGTGTGTGGCCTAACATGCAAAGGAGTCCCTGCTACAAAAAAAGGCCCTGGGTTTTGACAACAAACAAGGTCAACAGAATAAGAAGCAGAGGTAATTTCGGGGAGAATCGCGGGGGAATGCAGTTCCCCCGGGTGAGGGGCGG